TGGGTGACAGAGCAAGACTGTCTCAAAAAAAGAAAAGAAAAGAAAAGAAAAAGGATGAATCTTTAAAATTATTTCTTATCTATTTAGTTGAGTTTACCTATCTACTTTAGTTATGTGGATAATCAAGGTGGAAAAACTCCCATTTCAATCTGGTTTATTAGAGTCATTGTTGCTGAGCCAAACGGAATATAAAGCCATCTTCATGGGGCTCTCCTTCGTCACAGCCACACTTACATAATAATCACAGCAGAACCAGTTTAAAGAAAGAGTATAATAAATATTGCTCCAGAATAGTATGATTCCATCATGAAGACAGCTAAAATATCAGGTGATCTATTTGTGTCAGTTTTACGGAGAGCTTTGCATTGCATTTGAAACACAAAATGCCCACATACCTTAAAAATCAAATTCGAAGTGATAACTAAAGTAGAAGCATGCTTATGTTTTTAGAAGTATCTTTATCATGGAACCTGCATGAGAAGGAATGTTTAAGTAAAACCTAGCTGCTAAGTAAAAATTTAGAAAAATCATTAACCCAAAACACTATCTGAAGGGAGATGCTAGAATGACTTGCCAGTTAATTTTAGAACAGGAAGCTGATGGTCATCAAAATGAGAAAAGTTAAACTGAAAGGGCATCAGTGAACACTAAGTGGACCTGGGTTTCCTATAATAATCTCCAATTTCTGGAGGTTTATCATCAATGTAGGTCTCTTAAAAAATTGGTAAGAGAGCCAAGGTAACTAAATGATTTTTCACTTAAATAGTATCTGGAGTACCATCTAATATTTGGAAAAATTAGAACAAAATCAGAAGCTATTAAACCTTAGGTGATGCACTATAATTTCAGCAGTTTTTCAGGTCAGTATGTTCATTAAACTTGAATGCACAGCATATATATTTCCCTTCCTGAAACACTGGATTTAAAAATGCTCCTCTCTCTGTCTACTTCAGCAAAATCTGGATACATGTTATCTTTGACATTTAAACAGACTTGTCAATCAAACTATGAATTATAAAGTTTAAGATCAGTAAATGGATTCACTTTTAAATTATGCTAACAAATCTTAATTAGCATTCAAATCTTACCTGAAGTCTAAAATGTTTGACTGACATGCTTTTAAAATTATAAGATACCCAATGTTTCAGAGAATCTGGATAGGAGGTTGGAAACCACACAGAATCCTTCCCAGAGAGAGACGGAGAAAACAGAGCTATGCTCATCATCTGGGCCATCCTTGAGGATGTTATAGTACACTTGCTGTGTCAAATTACTGGAAGGGTAAAGGCAAGGTTATTAAGGAAAACTGACTTTAACTCAGTTTTTTAGATCATACTTTTGCTGACTTTATGAAGAAGACAGAACTAGTCTTTTTTTTAATTTCGTGGGGGGACAGGGTCTTGCTCTATCCCCCAGGCTAGAGTGTTGTGGTGAGATGATGGTTCACTGCAGCCTCGACTTCCCAGGCTCAAGTGATCCTCCCACCTCTGCCTCCCAAGTAGCTGGGACTACAGGCACATGCCATCATGCCTGGCTATCATTTTGTTTTTTTAATAGAGACAGAGTCTTTCCATGTTGCCCAGGTGGGTCTTGATCTCCTGGGCTTAAGCAATCCACCCATCTCAAGCTTCTCAAAGTGCTGGGATTACAGGCCTGAGCAACCATGCCTGGCAGGTACCAGTCTTATAAAGCTCATCACAAGGACTTACATTTTCATGTGAATTCATTTAATTTTTACAATAGGAAAAGCAAGGCACAAATGTTTAGATGACATCCACGGTAATACCTGCCCACCTCACAAGATTGTACTAAGGACCCAATTACATAATACACATAAAAGCACTTTATAAACCAAAAAGATCTAAGTAAACATAATAAATGCCTAGGTTCCCACAGTAAACAATGAAACTATGATTCAGTCATGGCCACTGCTTTTATCTGCTTCTCAAACATTTATGGGACAGAAATCACTGGGAGGACCTGTCAAAAAGAGGGCTCTAATTGGGTAGGTCTGGGCCAGGGCAGGCCAATAGTCTGTGTATCTACCAAGTTCCTGGGTGATACCAATGCCAGCTTCTGGGGCCACCCTTTTGAGGAATTAGACTCTAAAAGATCACCCTAATTCCTGGCGCATGGTCAGCCTTACAGAGTATATTTCCTGAGTATATTGCCGACTTTGGTTATACTTAAAGTGACCTTTGGAATAAGTCTGTATACTACATCCGATTCTGAATATAGTACTTTACAAACTCAGTATCAAAGTGTTCTTTCTTGGGCAACCAAAGAGCTAAAGGGCTGAATTTTAATTAGACCGTCTGCTATTCCCTTTTCCAGGACAAGAGTCAACAACATGTAAAAACATAGAAAGCTGTTTTGCCAGTTCACTATTACGTGATTTCAGTTCATCTCAAAAGGGTGGTGGGAGGTAGGGAAGAACCCTGTACTTGTAATCACATCCCCCTCTCCAAAAGAAAAACCTGGATTCTCAAAGATTTCAAATTAACAAGAGAAAAACTTGTCTTCTCTATCTGGAGAAATAACATCTTCTCTATCTGGAGAAATTGGTCTCAAAATATCCAGGAGAACAAAGCCACCTGAGCAAACAAGTAATTTGCAGAAATGCTGATGCCTCCTGATAGAGAACTACTCTAGACTCAGACCTGACAGAGAATAAAAAAGAAACCCACAGCCCCTGTAGGGCAGTGGTTCTCCAAAGTGGGCATGCATCCGAATCAACTGGGAGGGCTTGATAAAACACAAATTGTCACACCTCAAGAGTTTCTGATGGAATAGATTGAAGGTAGGGCCCAGGATGAGACTGACACTGAGGGTCCACAGACCAAGCTGAGGTTGGTCTGAGTCTAGCACTGAGTCTAGAAAGCAGTCTTCCCCCACATCTCACTCACAGCTGCACACCAGCACCAGCAGTGTCTAGTAGCACACACAGTTGGTCCCCAGTAAATATTTGCCGAATGAATGACCATTGTAACTTTCACTTCCAGGAACAATTTTACTACTTGCTTATGTATACTTGCTGCAAATATCTTATATACAGATTCATTAAAAAAAAAAAGAAAAAAAAATTACACACATGCTGGGCACTATAGCCCTTAACCTTAAGGGGTCCACAGTTAAATTAAACTGACCCCAATCATAGACACTAGTATCACACTTTTTCCTTATAATACCCGGACAGTTAAATCTTAGAGCCCTCTGCCACTGAAGTCGAAGCAGACAACTCACCTATCTAAAGAACCCTAAAGCAAAACCCTGTTTAGTCAAAATGGAGCAATTAATTGCACACATAGTCCTACCAAAAAAAAAAAAAAAAAATAAGTAAAGACAAGAATTTGCCAGGGAGGAACACAAATACCTGTGCCCACACTGGAAACTCAAAGATGGTCTCCTTAAAGCCTCTTCCAGTTGCTGCAAACCAAAAGGCAGCCCAGAGAACAGCCCCAGGTGAAAATGCAACTAAATCTTTAAGGATTTCTTTTCTAAATCCTTCCACGTTCACTAAGCAAAGCTCAGAAAGAATTTTGGCAGTCATTTCTCAAATCCTCTGATCTGCATGTTACCATAGTCACATTCATTCGGAAAAACAGGTGTTTCTGTTAAAATTAGCTGTTCCAAACTGCCAAATATTTTAGATCCCTATGCCAGCTTTAAAAAAAAAAAAAAAAGGCCGGGAGGGGTGGCTCACGCCTGTAATCCCAGCACTTTGGGAGGCCGAGGCGAGTGGATCACGAGGTCAGGAGATAGAGCCCATCCTGGGTAACATAATGAAACCCCGTCTCTACTAAAAATACACACACACACACACACACACACACACAGACAGAAAAAAATTAGCCGGGCGTGGTGGCGGTCGCCTGTAGTCCCAGCTACTCTGGAGGCTGAGGCAAGAGAATGGTGTGAACCCGTGAGGCGGAGCTTGCAGTGAGCCAAGATCGCGTCACTGCACTTCAGCCTGGGCAACAGCGCGAGACTCCATCTCAAAAAAAAAAAAAAGTGTGTAAAATAACCAATCAGATGTAACTGATGCTTCCAGAATTATAAAAATGAGGATGGGGTGGGGGTGCGGTGAGGGGTAGGGAAGAAGGCAAATACACACATATCACATAATTTTTGTATTTCCTATCATCACCCGGAATGGATAATAAAGGCTATACTTAAAACAGGCAAAGAAAGACAGAGTTGTGCTTTTTTCTGGGTAAGTCTTATGTTTGAAAGACTGTTTTTGTTCCATTTACTGAGTTGACTATCATAAATAATGTCTTTTCTTTAAAGAACTTAGCCATCATGATTTCCTTTTCTTATGACCATTCAATGGGAGAAGATTCTCAATATTCCCTGGTCAAGATGATGTGCGTTAAGCCTGTGTAAGAAAACTTGCCTTCAGGAGTCAGAAGAACCCAAGGATTAATGTCTTAAGTTAACCCTAGTGTAGTTTAAAAATTAAGAAGCAAACAAAAAGCAAACAAACAAACAAAAAAACAGGTCACTCTGATTTTATTCCTGGAACCAGTATCTCTGCTGACCTTATTAAACCCTGTTATGAAACAGGTCTGAGATGCTGCTTTTTTTAAACATCAGGGGCTATTTTAAAAAGAAATTTAGCAACCTGGGACATGAGAGAAAAGTTCAAATATCAAAGACCTGTGCCCAATTCCCTTGCCTGGCACTCCTCACTCTGGCTTCTAGAAATCTGCTGGAAAAAAGTACAAGCAGAATTCATTTCAAGACACCTGCTGGAAGAAAAGCCCTGAACTTTATTTTATAAATGGGAAGTGGGGGGTGCAGGGGCGGTGAAAACACTTAAGTTTAGAACTTTTATCAACTTCAGAGGATAGAGATTATGCATGTTACATGACCAAATGTAGAACATACAGAAACACCAAGAGCAACTATTATTTAGGTAAGAGGTTTCAAAATTCATTTAGTGACTAGCTAACTTCATCCAAACAAATAGAGAAAGTTATTTTTTTATTTTTTTTTCCTGGCTTGAGTTGTCCTGAAAATTGCTTCTGCAAGGAAAGAGTCCAGGAAAAAAACTGGCAATTCCTTTTTTCTTAATCTAATATCAAATTTACAGATTCCTGGCCCTTATTTTACTTAACGTTTGTTCCTTTCAGTTTACTCTGTGATCGGCACAGGATAAATGAAAATCAACCATATAATCAAACTCTATCATTACTTGTGTACATTCAACAAATAAAACTTTCTATATGCATGCAGGATTGTCACTGGCACATGAATTAGAATCCCACCTCCCTTTCATCCTGAACCCCATCCCAACATTAAAGGGCAGAGGAGAGGAATAAAGATGCTCAAGGTCATTTTCATTTTTTAAAGCCTTCAAAAACCCAAAATTTACCAGGATTTAAGAGAGAAAAACTGCTCCCATAGTCATTTTTTCAAAAATGTTAAGTACCCTACCACTTTAAGACTTTTTCAAATTTCAAATTTGGGGCGGTGAAACAGTCCTAGCCTTACCCAACACAGGTTGAAGACTTTTACACATTGCATTTCATGTCCTTGTAATAAAAACAGCGATTCAAACAAATAAAACAGTCAATATGACTTTGTTCTCTCTCTTAATGTATTACAGTAAAAAATGCTTTCTTTTCAGATCTGTGAGAACTGCAAAGGTTTAAGCACAACAAATCCCAAGAAAAATGTAAATGGAACAAATCTAAAGCACGTACGAGTTTTTACTCATGTGGCCCTCCCAGGCTTCAGGCACTGTAAATAGATTTGTTGTGCTTTTAGTGGGAAGATATTCAGAATTTAACTAGGTTCAACAAAACTACACACTCCACCACCACTCACACAAAAAGACTCCTAAAAATGTCTACAGAAAAAAAAACTACCTTAATATTACTCCAAATTTCAATGAAAAGATTCTTCCAACACACAATCAACCATGGCATTATCTTAGATCAAGGTCACAAAAATAAGCCCTTGGCCTACAATTATGTTGTGGCTCTAGAACGTTCTTAACAAGCTTTCCGTGATACTTCTTTCCTCTATTAAGCAGTCTAGGACCCTCTCTATATCTTTTCTGAAACCATGAGGATCTTGTCTGAATAGACCTGTGTACATAAAAGATGCTAACTATTCTCACTTGATATACAGTACTTTTACAGTTCCATCCATAGAGACTCTGAGTTGAGAAGGCTGGCATACCACACAGGATTAGGAAGCGCTTTAATCTAAAAATGATAGGCAGAATACAAATCAGAATTCAAGCAGCCTGAGCCACTGTTCATGATGATGGAAAGATAAGTGGAGACAAAGGGAGCTAAATCACTTTCCAGGAAAAATGAGACAAAACCGTCCCAAGCACTCTACATAACCCAACCCCATTTGTGTCACCTGCCTTTGAAAATAGAATGTTATGCATAGTCATCTCTTCAGCTCTAGGCTGCTCAAGCGAGTACTTCTTGAGCAGTACTTTTTCTTGAGGAAAAAGGAGAAAGGCTTGGGAACTGGGGGCCTGCCTCACTACTATTGAAATAGCCTTCCCACAGAACCTTCCCATACATGATACACAGCATGCAAAATTACAATTATTGAAAAATCAACAATAATTGCAAAAAGCCATCTGAGAAACATAACATTTTAATAGATGAAATAAATACTCCAGTACATGCAAGGTAAAAACTTGACGTTGGGGGAAAAAAATCACTCTATAGTGTAAATTAAAAAAACACACACTCACAGTAGCTTCCCCCCATTTGCAAATCACATGGCAAATTCATACCCTTTCCACACTAAGTATACTCCTAATTCAACACGATTGCTTAAAAAAAAAAAAAAGACATACAAAAAAGGTAGCTACATCCATGTCTAAGGAGTGAAAACTGAGGTAACCTTTCTTTTAATTAAAAACACAAAAAAATGAAATGAACCCATGACCTCCTTCCTGCCCAATAATCAAACTTAGTTGAGAAATTCCGGAAGACGGGCTGGGGTAGGGGGCGGGAGTGATAACGCAACCAGATGACACATTTTCCATCTTCCAGTCCCTACTGCGTGGGGCCTGGTGGACAGACACCTGGGCCCTCCAAGTGCGTGTGCAGGTTGTGTGCATGGCCCTGCCTTAAGATTCCTCTCGAGCATTTAATGTTGGGGAGGGTAGGGGGTTTCACCTATGATTTCTTTGGTATAAATGGTGAGGGGCAGAGTAAGTATCTTCCTTTAGTCTGGGGGTGGAAGAAGGGGTATGGGGGTGGGGTGCTAATTCACAGAATTGGAATTCACTGGCGGTAAAGTCCTGGGCGAAGACCTCTCCCTTAAAGCCTGAGATAGCAGGGTGCAGCCTTCAGACACGGCGCAGGCCGAGTTCCTCAGCCTCTCCCTGTGGTCCGACATCTTGGCGCCCCCGTCGGGGTGCTGCGCCAGATCCCTGAGGCACTGGGTCAGGAGCACGCAGGCCGACACCACACTCATGGCGCCGCCCAGGATGGCGGTCTGCACCGCCTTGCCCTCGGCGCTCACAGTTGCCGCGCGACCCAGGAACTGCGGCTCGGTGGCGAAGCCTACTAGGGCGCTGACTGCCTGCACCAAGGGCCCGCTGAAGAGCGCGCAGCGGCTCCGCGCCAGCTCACTGGGCGCCACCTTCACCTCGCGCACGCAGGCCAGGAGCGCCGACGCGCTGGTGCTCATGCACTTGACGCCCAGCTTGAACTGCTCGCGCGAAAAGCGGTCCCGTGACTTGTCACTAGCCAGGGCGCACGCGTCCGTCAGGAACTTGAGGTTGCGCGACAGGCCCTGCGACACCTCCAGCAGCAGCTGCGGCGTCATGTCGGCCAGCGGCGTGGCGCGCAGCACGGCGCAACCCTGCTCCACCTCATGGCGGCAGCGCGTCACGCGGTAGCGGTCCACCAGGCCCGGCTGCGCCGGCTGGGCGCCCGGCGTGGCCACAGCCGCCAGATAGGCCGCGTGGGCCGAGCACTCGGTCAGCGACACCACCAGGTCGCCCAGCTCCACCAGGCTGTCCCCCGCCTCCCCGAAGCGGCCCATGTTGAGCTGGCTCTGCACGTCGTGGGTGAGGATGGAGAGCCCCTTGGTGCGCGCGATGATGGTGTCCCGGCACTGCTCGAAGGACTCGGCGCCGGCACCAGAGGAGGCAGGGCCCTCGAAGAGCACTGGCCGCGCCTCGCTCGACAGCAGCAGCAGGTCGGCTACCAGCTGCATCTTGCCCTTGCAGTGATCGCAGACGGATACCAGCCTCTTCCGCGGCTGCGAGCTGGTCCCGCCGATGGCGGTCGCAGGAGCCGGAGAAGCCGCCTCGCCAGTGGGCTTCCCGGCGCTGCCGCTAGCCATCGCGCCCGGGGGGCACTGGCATGCCGCTGGGGACCCCGCTACCACCGTCGCTGCCGCGGCCACTGCCGCCGCCCCGGCGGCCGTCGCGACTCAGCTGGCCAAGGCCGCGGTGCCTTCCTCGCACCATCATGCCATCCACCGCCGCGGGCAGAAGGCACTGGGCTGCGGCGGCGGGAGCCCGGGCGGCGCGGGGTGGGCCCGAGGGCCAGAGAACGCGGAAGGCTCTTCGGGGCAAGGGGAGGGGCTGCAGCTTTCGGCCTCCTAGAGGGCTTGCAGGAACCATGAACCGCGGCAGAGCAAACTCACTGTCCGCGCTCCTCGTCTCCGGGAGGCCAGGAAAGTCCCTTCTGCTGGTTCGCCGCCGCCGCCTTCCTGGGCATGGCCTGGCCCGGCCCTCGGAGAGGTGAGGGCGGGACGGGGAAGCTGGGAGTTGTCCTTCCTTCCTTCCTTTGAAATCAAAATCCTTTCCTCGGGGAGGAGCGCGGGAGGCAGCACAGGCAGACTCTGCTGTCAGCCGCCGCGCTCGAGGCCACCTCGGGCTTGGCGGCGCACGTGGGCTTCAGGCGCCGTGACCCCGCAAGGCGGCACTTCCCCGCGACGGCGGCCGGGGCTGGCTCTCCGAGACGCGCGGCCGCCCCGGGCGCATCTCCTGCCCCCCGCTCTCGGGAAGCGGCGCCGGCGGCAGCAGGGCAGAGGGTGTGGCCCGCGCTGTCGCTGCCGCGCCGAGTCAGAGCCGGGCGGGAGCCTGCACTGATTGCGCACAGCGGCCGCCCGGATCGCTCTCAAGCTCTCGCCCGCCCGCCACGCCCGGGCGTGCCGAGCGCCGCGGCGGCCCCTTCCCGCCTCGCCGGTTCACAGCGCGCGGCCCGGCGCCGCGGCGGCACGCCCTCCCAGACCGCGCGCCCGGCGGCCCGCCGCTGGCTGTCGACGCGAGTCCATCCCTGTCGCCTCCTCGTCTGGGGCCCGCAGCGGCTGAGCTCTCCCGAGACCCCGGGCCCCGCGCATCGGACGCCCCTGCACGAGTCTCCCTGCGACTGGGCCAACTCAGAAGGTCCCCGCGGCGCTGCGGCAACCGGCCCCGGCCCCGGCTCCTGCCATTTTTGTCAACCGCCAACTTCCGAGCGAGCGGGGAGAAACTGAAAGGAAGGGCGGGGGCCGAAAGGCAGAGGGAAAAACACCCGCTTCCTCTCCGCGCGCGGCTTCACCTCGGAGCGCGGCCGTGGCTGTGCCGCCGCCCGCAGGGTCTGCCGGAGGTTTTTCCTCTTCCCGTCCGCGCCTCGCCCCCGGGCTCGCCGCCGCCGCCTCGGCCGTAACCTCCCTGGAGCCTATAGAAATCTTTTGTGTGGCGTCACCGCCTTTCGTTTAAATCCCGCTTCCTCCTCTCGTCCTTCCTCCCGCCCCCTCCGCCGCTCCCGGATGCTTGCGCGATGCGCTGCTCCTCCCCCGGGAAGCTGGGTGGCTGCGGGGGACGCCGCCGCCCAACGCGGACGCCACCGGCGTGGGGCCGGTGGTCACGGATCCCCCCCATGGTCGTGGGCCGAGAGACTGGGGAAGCCGACAGGGGAAGGCCTGCCCCGGGCCGGGGGCTCTGCGCACACCCATGGGAGACCGGGGCGCAGCCGCTCGCGGGCATTACGTAAGCTCTTAGCCGGACCAGGGGGCTTCCTCCCCGCCAAGAGAGGAACTCTAAAAGGTGACTTGGCCTCCAGGCTGAAGGCAGGAGGACACTCGATACTGGCCACTGGTGATTTGTTGGGGCCGGCGGGTCATCTCGGTCTGCGCGACTTCGCCAGTTTTTCCAACGCCCCCTGCCCTTTGTTGTGTTTGATCCGCTTCCGCGATGGGTTTCTGACCAGCAGTGCAGTGTAACGAAAAGAGGAAAAGAGCACTGGATGTGAAGTCCCAAGAGTAGGGCTAGATGCTTGCCCGTTCCTCCCTTGAAATATGCCTTATGCAGTGAGAGCGCGGGCTCTGAACCAGACTTCCTAGGATCAGCCTTTCTCAAGCCATTTATGAGTTCCATGACCTTGTTCAAGTTATCGCTCCAAGTATCCGCCTTCTCTTCTAGAAATTAGAGACTGTGCACAGGCTGCTTGAGTACTTGGCTCCTAAACAGTAGCTGTTAGAATTATGAGCCTTGATCAGCGCAGTTTGCCCCCTCATAACGTCTATTTATTCGTCTGTATAATGGAATAATAGTGGCTGCTGTTAAATGAATTAAATAAGACAGCGTTTGGAGGGAAACGTTATTACTCCAGTTTCACAGATAAGGAAACTGATCAGGTGCTTGAAATGACTTCCCAAGATCAGGAAGACAGCATATGGCAGGGACAGGAGCCCACGCCTACTCCCAGCCTCTTTTTACCGGACCTTGTTTTTCAGGAAGTGGTTAAAACACCTGGGCTACTCCCAGCAAAACGCCAGTATCGCAGTCCTGAAACAGGTACGCTAAGGTGCCCAGCCCAATACAGGCTGGGCGTGCTGAGCCAACGGAAATGTTTGTTCTCTGTCCCTTCCTAGAACTCCAAGTCACCTTTCTCCAGTCAGTTAAAAATGTTACTGTTAACTAGAATGACGTTTCAATTTATCGGCCATATCCAAGCATTTCTGTGAATGAACTGTGAGACATGCTATTAATAAATTAACCATGAACAGCAGGTTCAAACCTGGATGGATAGTCATCCTACTTATAACGTAAAGTATCCTTAAATATCTTTAGAATCCAGATGAACCCACTTATTTTGCAAAGCGAGGTCAATAAAACTGACTTGAAATAGGAAGCAATTCTGTAGGATTAATTCCTTTCTTCTTCTACAAGAGAAAAAAAACAAAAACAGTTGGGTAAGTCAAGGTTTTTCCATGATGACCCAGGAATTGCACGTTAGTCCCTCTTAGCTCCAAAAATTTATGAGAGGGAAGTCAGACTTCTGTGCCTAGTTTATTCATGAGGCTGCTCTAAGACCAGGGGAATTTTTTTTTTTTTTTTCCAAAGCCACTTAGTGCCCCTGGGGGTCCTATTTTCCCTTTCTTCTACATATGCAGTCTGTTTTGCTGTTGATGGAAACCCACCCCAACAATGAGTTGTGTTACACACAGACTGTCCACTCTATTCAGTGAGGTTTGGTTTCATTTTTAAAACTGATAGCATTGTGTTCTCGGCCTTCCCTGCTTCATTTTTCAGATAGGGAAATTCCTTCTAAACTGATCCTCCCAGGCACTGCCTTCACCTTTCTTTAGGTTCACCTTTACTTTGTCCCATTGTTCATTCACTCCACAATCACTGGGCACCAGTCTTGTGCTAGGCACCAAAGTTAACATGATATGTAATATGAGGCCTCCTCTCTTAAAGATTAGAGTCCAGGGAGGGGAGTAGATTCACAAGAAACAGTCACAATTTCACTATTGGTTCAGTGAGAGCACCGAGTAAAAAACCGATAGCAAAGATAATTGGGCTTCACAGATACAGTATTTGCAGGTAGGCAGGGCCATGTGGTTCTTTCTGACCAATGAAATGTAAAGGGAAGCTATGTAGGTTACTTCCAGGCTGAGACAATGAAAAGCCAATCTGTAATTCTCCACTCTCCTACCCTCCTGTAAGTACCATGGAGACTGCATTCTAGTTGGTGGAGCTTCTGTAAGCCTAGGTGACCACGTGGAGCAGACCCTCTTGATCTGTTGTGGACATGTAATGTGAGCACACAGTGAACTATTGGTGTGTTAAGTCACAGAGATTTGAGGGTTGTTTGTTGCTGTTGCATATTTTTAGTCTAATTAGAGGATGGCTTGTTGGTGTCTGCCCTTAGAGTCACTCAAGCAATGGCTTTTTCTTTAGAAAACTCCACCTATTACCCCTTCTAACCCTCTCTTAAAATTAAAATAAATATAAATCAAAAGTATTTGCTATGATCTGACCCCCAAATTCATATGTTGAAACGTAACCACCAGTGTGACAGTATTACAAGGTGAGCCTTTGGGAGGTGGTTAAGTCATGAGGTGGAGCCCTCTTGAAGGGGGTTAGTGGCCTTATAAAAGAGGTGTGAGAGAGCTGTTCGCCTCTTTTGCCCTTCCATCATGGGAGGATACAGCAGCATAGGGGATGCATCATCTATGAGGAATGGGCCCTTGCTGGGGCTTTGATCTTGTACTTCCCAACTCTAAAGCTGTAAGCAATAAATTTCTGTTAGTTATAAATTACCAAGTCTAAGGTATTTTGTTATAGCAGCTCAAATGGATTAAGATAGTATATATATATATTTTTTAATGGATGTTGAGTGAGAGAAGAAAGCAGAAAATGTGTGGACTGGGGATTGGCTGGAGGAAGGTAAATGGAGTGGATGAGAGAGAGCTGGTAAATGGCCTGGCCCCTAGAGAATGCACTCTCAGTACTGGCTCAAGGCCTACACTGAATAGGCATTTGATGAAAAGTAAGTGAACACGGTACAAAGAGAACTGAGGATTTGGGCAGGACAAGTGGAACTGACAGGCTGAGACAGGCAGGATTGGGGAAACATCTTTTACCTCCTCTCTTACCTGTTTTAGAAGGTGCATCCACCACTTGGTACAAGAGAACATTATGGGCACTCTGTTTTGTTTTTATGTTTAAAATCGTGGTAAAATAACAAAATCATCTTACCCATTGTTAAGTACATTATTGTGCAACCATCACCATCCTCTATCTCCAGAAATGTTTCATCTTCCCCAACTGAAACTCTATACCCATTAAGTGACTGCTCCCCACTCCCCCTTCCTCCAGTCCCTGGCAACCACCATTCTACTTTCTCTATGAATTTGACTACTGTTAAGTACCTCATGTTAGTTGAATCATACAATATTTGTTATTTTGTGCCTGGCTTATTTCACTTAAGTTGTCTTTTTTTTTTTTTTTTTTTTTGAGACAGAGTCTTGCTCTATCGCCCAGGCTGGAGTGCAGTGGCGCAGTCTCAGCTCACTGCAAGTTCCACCTCCTGGGTTCATGCCATTCTCCTGCCTCAGCCTCCCAAGTAGCTGGGACTACAGGCGCTTGCCACCATGCCTGGCTAATTTTTTTTTCTGTATTTTTAGTAGAGACGGGGTTTCACCGTGTTAGCCAGGATGGTCTTGATCTCCTGACCTCGTGATCCACCCTCTTCGGCCTACCAAAGTGCTGGGATTACAGGCATGAGCCATCGTGCCCAGCCTTAACATAATGTCTTTAAGATTCTTTGATATTGTAGCATACATGGGAATTTCTCTTCTTTTTTATGGGTGAACAGTATTCCATTGTAAGTACTCTGGATCTTTTCATTCTATCAAAAATTTGTTTATTTTGTAGCGAGAAAGTCTTGGAGACACAGTCTCACTATGATGCCCAGACTGGTCTCACACCCTTGGCCTCAAGCGATCCCCCACCTTAGCCTCCCAAAGTGCTGAGATTACAGGTGTGAGCCTGTCTGGCCGCTCTGCATTTTGATACCCAACTTACACTACCCCAGACTTTCTGGACCAACAACCAAGCTGTGTTTGGTCTGTAGTGCCACCTGGTGGTCAATATGAGGCATTCTGTGCCCTAATTATTTTTCTCTTTGGAGCAGTGTCCCTTTGTTTTGCTTTTGTGTACACAAATGAGCCAATTACATCTCAGGCTATCTTTCTTATACATATGCAGACATCACCCTTCATTATTTCCCTTTCACTATCTATTGTAAAAGAGCGGAATTTCTATCTCTCCCTCTTTTCCCCAGATTCCCTCATTGTCATAGGTGATGCATGACAACAGCCCCTGGTTCACCAAGGAACAAGATCACTGTCTTAACAGCTCGCTCTCCTAACCCGGCATGTCCTCTTGCTCTCTGGTATATTTTGTTCCCATCCAGTAAGAACACCGGGGCAGTACCTCACACATCACTCCCATTTCCTCCCCAGTCCCAGTTTCCACCTTCCCTCCCTCCATGCTTTCTCTTTGTTCACTTGCAGCTGGGTGTGTAAGGGACCCTGTGTGCTGGACCAGTTATACCTTGGCAGGCATACCTGAGCCTGCAGGTCCTGAAGTCTAGGAGATCTGGAATTTTCTGCAGTAGTTTGCCAGAGCACCCTCCATGGAGGCAAAGTTTGCTTGCACAGATTAATAAATTCTGTGCCCCATTCATCTAGTGGCCAGTCATCTTTGGATGTATTTTCCATTTTCCAGCATCCTGGAGAAGAGAAAAAACAAGTGCTAAGTTTCAGGCACCCTGGACTCCTAACACTAATCATGCCTGACCAAGTTTTGACATCTCTCATGGTGCCTGGTATTCAGTAACTACAGAGTGATTAGATTTATTGGTGCCTCACAAGGAGGCTCCCTGATCCTTCAGACAGACCCAGGTATTTCTTCCCCCCTTGTAGCTACTGTGATGTCTGCTCATCTTCAGAGTGACGTCAAGTACTTGGAACTGTTGGTGTATCTCTCTCCACAACCCTATCATCTCTCTAAGGGCAGGGACTTGATCTGTGCATCTCTCCCCCACACTTAATGTATTGAGTGTTTATGGCAATAGGTAATGAATTATTTCATTTGTTAAATCTCTGCACAAGAAAGGCACCCTTTTATTGAACCAAACTCTGACTGCTCACAACTTTCATTCAGTAATGGACAGAAAGTCATGGACATTCATGAAACAACAGCAGGGGTACAGTCTAGGTCTGGTCATGATCTAAAAGCTCACAACCCTAAGATTGAAGGGGAGGCCGGAGGCCTGTTTGCTTAGCAAGTATGTTCACCTCATTTTTCTTACAGCTTGTTTGGGACAGTCCAGGGAGGTGATTCTTTGGAAACAGACTGAATTTTCTAAACATAACTGCATATATCTATGCTGCAAAGTACATGTAATTTTTTCAGATGACACAGAGAAAAGTCCTGCCTTCTTTGGAGATTCAGATCTCATCCCCAAATTTTCAAGGCCATTGCAGTATTGTAGATAATTTGAATTACATGTATTATTCTGATAATTTCTATTGAAATTAGATTTTTCCCCCTTACATCTTGGTGGAAAGAAGGGTACCAATTCACATTTTGTGAGCAGCAGTGTTTGTGTGTGTCTCTCCTTTTAAAGCACAAGTGGGCCAGGCGCAGCAGTTCATGCCTATAATTCCAGCACTCTGGGAGGGCGAGGTGGGTGGATCGCTTGCACCTAAAAGTTCTAGACCAGCCTGAGCAACGTGGTGAAAATCTCTCTCTTTAAAATAAAGAAAAAATGCACTTTGGGAGGCCAAGGCAGGTGGATCACGAGGTTAGGAGTTCAAGCCAGCCTGGCCAACGTGGTGAAACCCCATCTCTACTAAAAATACAAAAATTAGCTGGACATGGTGGCATGTGCCTGTAATCCCAGCTACTCAGGAGGCTGAGGCAGGAGAACTGCTTGAACTGGGGCCTGGGAAGCGGAGGTTGCAGTGAGCTGAGATTGCGCCACTGCACTCCAGCCTGGGCTACACAGCGAAACTCTGTCTCAAAAAAGAAAAAAAAAAATGCAAAAATTAGCCAGGTGTGGTATGGGAGGCTGAGGTGGAAGGATCCCTTGAGCCTGGTAGGTGGAGGTTGCAGAGAACCAATATCATGCCACTGCACTCCAGCCTGGGTAACAGAGCAAGACCCTATCTCAATAAAACAAACAAACAAAAACAACACACCACAACCGATGTATGTTAGATGTGAAGAAAAATAGAAAATACAGAGAAAAGGTTAAAATATTTTGGAATCTCACTGCTTAGAGACAGCCATCGTATACATATTTGCAGCTCTTTTCCTATACATAGATATATACTTGTATAATTTTAATAGCATTTAAAATCATTTACTAGTATAAAATGAACATCTTTAGTAGCAACAAATATATGATATATTTAATGATTGCATATTACCCATCATATGTGTGGAATACAGCTTGCAACTGTAAATGTAGATTTTATAGTCTACAATTTTTGCAACACTTAGAGTTGTTCTTGTTTTCCCCACTCATGGAGAGTGTTATAGGCTTGTTACATTGGGTAAGTGAAGAAATACACAGAAAGCACTCAGCAGAGTGCCTGTCGCATAGTAAGTGCTCAATATTATTAGCATTACTATTATTTTCATTGTCTGTTTCCTCAGAGTCAAGTTCTTGGAAGTGGAATTGCTAATCAGATGATGCACTTTTTTAGGGGGAAGGGGAGTTGATACATTTCACCTAATTTTCAAGCAGAAAACTCCATCCCCCCCGGAAGTGAATGAGAAGGCTTCTTTCCTCAGCCTTGCCAACAGTGTGTACTGTCTATATTTTTATCCAGGATCAACTGATAATTAAAAAATTATAACATGTTTGAATTTGCATTTTTTTTTATATTAGAGAGATTCTGTGTTATGTTTTGTTTCTGCTATATGTGAACTGGCCATTTATAGTTATTCTTTTGGGAATTACCCATTCATGTCCTAGCCCATTTTTCATTTGGTTTTTCATCTTTCCCTTACTGATTTATAAGTTTTTTTTGTTTTTTTTTTTGTTTTTTTTTGAGACAGAGTGTTGCTCTGTCGCCCAGGCTGGAATGCAGTGGCACAACCTTGGCTCACTGCAACCTGTGCCTCTCGGGTTCAAGCAATTATCCTGCCTCAGCCTCCTGAGTAGCTGGGATTACAGGTTCCACCACACCCAGCTAATTTTTGTATTTTTAGTAGAGATGGGGTTTCAACATCTTGGCCAGGCTGGTCTCCAACTCCTGACCTCAGGTGATCTGCCCGCCTCAGCCTCCCAAAGTGCTGGGATTACAGGCATGAGCCACCATGCCCAGCTAGGAAAACACAAATATTATTATGTTTAACCCTGTGAGTATGCTTTTCTGCTCACAGATAATGGTGGTGACCAGGAATGGACACCTGCTTCAGACTGGGCCAGTCACATTGTCTACTGAAAATTTGAAATTCCAACAAAAGGCAACCAGTTAGTTGCTACCAATATTTAACAATTACAATAAATGATTCATGTCTTTCTATGTAATTAAATTTTTTAAGTGAGTAAATTTAGGGGCTCGTAAAGCCCAGGAAGTATGCAGTATGTCTGTTCTTACATTGGATTAAAAAGCAGCAAAAGTGCAAAATGGTAAATATTCATTACCTCTCTCAGCCCATCCCCAGGCCCCTCCTCCTATGCCTTCCCATGAGTCAGTCATTAGAGGGTTAATGTTTGGCACAGTGGTGACTGTACCCATCAGCTCATCTGCCTCTGTTCTGATTACCTGGTCATTTTTACTCCAGTTTTTCAACATTTTCAATATTACCCCAGCCTGCTTCCAAATAGTACTAGAAAGTCTTGTTTCACCGTCCTCTGTTGTGGAATGATGCGTGCCAGGATGAGCTCAGGTTAAGACACTAATTATATCTGAGATTCAGCTTTACCATCCACAGTCACTGAATCACTTAGAGGTGGGGTTAGTATTAACCTCAGAGCACTGAAGAGACTTGTGGCTTTACTTAGGCCATGAGGACACAACCTTTCACATCTGACCTCTCCAGCCTACACCGCACCACCTGGGACCTGGCAGAGACTCTTGTCCCATCTGAGTGCTCCTGGCTCCAGACTTTTCAACCCATTTTCCATTTGGCTCCCAATTTAACTATCCTGAGTGCCTCACTGATTAACCTAGATGGTGCTGAGGTGGAAGAAGGACTCCAAGAAAGACTGGACCTTGTTGTCCAGTACACCTCGGCTTAGATTCTTGCCTTGCCACTGCACTAGCTGTGCAGCCTCAGACAAATTGTATACTTCTAAAACCAGGATTTCCTCT